ATATATGCATTGTATATTGAAAATAGGGTCCATTAAAGCAACTCCAATGCTAAATACCAAAATTGAATTATCAAATATTTATTTGATACTTGAGATAATATTTTAATATTGATTAAAGGTTATCTACTTCAACCATGGTTATCAAATTAATTATTAATTGGAAGTTTATGGATGATTTTATTTGTAATTGCGACATGTCCACTTTTGATTGAATGTTTAGATAGTTACACTTTTGATAACTCAATTTCCGCCAAGTATTTTTACATCTCAAAAGTTGAATTATCAAAATAGAACCCTAATTTGATAACTCCATTGGAGTTAAAAATTTCTATTTTTTGATGTATAAATAGTGGTTAATGGGTTGAATACCATGTTTGATAACCCATTGGAGTTGCTCTTACAAATAAGTCCATCATGGCATACTTATTTATAAAGGGATCCAGACAAAAAACTCTTTTACCAAACATCCACACATTTTTCCACATGTGTGTAAAAGACTAAAGTACCCCCTCACATTTTAATATGGTCAAATTTCGTCATTTAATTCCATTGGACCCCAAATTTCACAAATTATTCAATTTTGACTCAAAACTCAATTTTGAGTACAATTTCGTCCGTCGCCGCCGGTCTCTGGCGTTGACTTAACATCTTTTTGCCCCAATTAAACAACAATATTGCTGTGATTGACAGTAATATTAACTATATTACTATTAAACGCAGTAATATTAACTATACTTCAGTTTAACACAGTGATATTGTTATATTACTCTCTAGCACAGTATTATTAATGCAACAAAAATCATTATTATTGTGTAATAGAGCAATATTAATATGTTGATGGTTCAAGAAAGGCAAATATAATAAGAAGCCAAAAGAATTAATATTAATGTGGTTGATAGTAATATTACTGTCATCCACAGTAATATTACTGTAAAAACACCATAATAATATTATGGGGCTAATATGCTTGGGTCCCTCGTAGCAAATTTAATTAAAACTAAATGAAAACCCCAAACTATTTTTTTTTAAATACATCCTTATTTCAAAATATAATATGTCTCACATTCCTAATTTCCTTGTATCCCTAACTTGCCTTTATACCCTAAATATAAACTATATTTACGTCCCTCCAACCCACATATGTTTCTTTCTTTTATTCTCTCTCTTTGTTTCTCACGTTCTCTACATGTCTCTCTCACTCTGTTGCTTTTTCTCTCTCTCTCTCTCTCTCCCTCTCGATCTCTCTTGCTCCCAGTTATGGTGGGTGCCTATGGCAGCAGTGGGGGTGGTCATGGAGGCGGCGGGTAACATGGGGGTTGTTACGGAGGCGGTCATGGTGAATGGCAGCAACTTTGGAGGCGGTGCATGTGGTGAGGGTTGTTATGGAGGCGACTATGGTAAGTGGCGGCGGCTATGGAGGTCGTGAGTATGATGGAGATAGTTATGGAGGCGGTTAGGGGCGGTGGTGGTCGCAGTTATGAAGGTGGTTGGTTATGGAGATATGGAAAGGTCGGGTGGCGATGAATATGGAGGTGGTGGCGGCTATGGTTACGGTTTTGCAGATCTATGTTTTTATTTTGACGGCTATGGCGACAGTAGTTGTAGATCTAAGGTTTTATTTTTGGATAATCAAACATTGTGATTAGTTGATAATATTATGTGGTCAGGCTGCTGGTTCGTGCAATAATTCTATCAAGGGCGATCCTATCACCATCCCCATAGTGTATGAGACAAATGTATGACTATGGATTTTTTGTTTGGTGTCTATGGTTGTCTATGGCTTGCTGGCGGCTAGGGTTTAAAGATGGAGTTAGGGTTTTCAAATTGTGCAGTACAAATGACTATGGGTTACTATGATTACTATGGGTTTCTACGCGTGTCATGTAACTATGACAGTACAAATGACTATGGGTTACTACAATTACTATGGGTTTCTGTGAATGTCTATATGTGACTAAGGCCGAAAAAAAAATCAAAAAAAAGAAAAATCATAATTTTCATTATTATATATTAAAAAAGGAAAACATTAGATTTTTATAATACTAAAAATAATTAAATGAAAAATAAAAAAAGATTGTATTCCACGTACACAAAAAAATATTAGATGCAAAAATAAAAATACAAAATACAAAATAATAAAATAATAAATACAATTTAAATATTACTTGGTGCATATTTTATTTCTTGTGTGTGGAGGGCATTTTTGGGATGAAATTTATAAAGGATGTGAAATAAAGGTTTAGTTGAGTTTGTCATTTAGTTTTAATAAGTTTTGTCACAAGGAACCTATATCTTAAGACCCCTAATATTATTGTGTTTATAGTAATATTAAAATAGTTGATAGTAATATTATTACGTTAATCAGTCAAAAAATTAAATAAAACAAAAAAGCCAAAACAAAAAAGCCAAAAAAAATTAATATTGATGTGGTTGGCAGTAATATTATTGTGTTTACAGTAATTTTACCGTCAACGACAGTAATATAATTATGTTGACTTGTCAACAAATCAAACAAAAAAACAGCCAAAAAAATAATAATATTGTTGTGGTTGACAATAATTGTACTGTCAACGACAATACAATTACGGAAATGTACTGTTGTTGATAGTACAATTAATGCCATCGACAGTATAATTACTGTTAATGAAGTACAATTACGGTCAACGTTGAGCGGCGGACGTAAAAATAACGGATAAATTTTATAGAGAAAAAAATATTAAATAAAAAAGTCAACGCCGTAGACTGGCGGTCAACGCCGCAAACCAGCGGCAAAAGCAGACAAAAAAAACGAAGAAAGGGTTGAAGTTTAAAAAAAGAAAAAGTCAAAATTGAATTTTTGTGCTCAAAATTAATTAAATTAAAGTTAAATTGGGGTTACAATTTGAAATCGGATTTAAAGGGTTGGGGGTAATTTTGTCATATATATTAATTTTGTTTTTATTTATAATACATATTAAAATGATGGGGGTTATTGGCGAAAAATACATAATCCATGAACTTAACATAATAAAAATGGTTGATCAGGGATTTTATGGATAAAAAGCCCTTGAAAATAAAGTACTGTAACCGAGGAGAGAGGAGAGATTTATTGCTAATATTAGTGAATAGAGAAAATGATACAGGAATGCAGAATGATGAAGAAATTGGTCTATCTATTTCATTGCGTGGGAACACATATTTATACACGAGAATTACAAGCATATTCACCAAAATACTAACTCATCCGATTGTTGGTGATGACGCGAGTCTTGGAAAACTTAGTCCACAAGTATTGGGTATATATTACAATATATAAGTAAATTTAAAAAAACAAAAAGAATATTGTTTAAGTCAAAGTCAAATTTTTAGACCTACACCAATAAAAAAAAATAAGCTGGACTCATTCTTATTAAAAAAATACTAAGAGTATCTCACTAATAATCCCTATTGTTTAAGTCAAAGTCTCAACTCTCAAGTAGCACCAGTATCAAGTCAATTTTTTTTTTTTTTAAAAAGAGAAAAAAAAGTCTTTTTAAGTCTTTATTAAAGTAGACATGGCCACGGGGTGGGTCGAGTCCGGGTCCCGGGACCCGAAACCGACCCACGGGGATGCGGGTCCGGGTCCGGCCCAGGTCCACCCGGGTCTATCCGGGTCCGGGTCGGATCCGGGTCCACCCGGTTTTTCAATTTTTTATTTTTTTTTATTTTTTATTTTTTATTTTTTTTACAAGAAAAAAAAAACGTGCATTTCAAAATTCAAAAAATATCAAAATTCAATTTTTCTTTTAAATTAAATCGTATTTTTTATATTTTTCAAAATTAAATATATATGGATTTGTTATTAGTCGAGATTTTTGATAATAATAATAATCAACATGACAATTAATAATTTATAAAACATTAGTTATACAATTATTATAATTATTTTACAGTGTTATTTATATTTATATATTTATAGTTAGAATTATTATAACAAGAAATATATATAACATAAACAAAATGTGTAAAACGATTATAATAAATAATGTTAAATAGATTATTAATTACCATATTCATTATTATTAAATAATTTTAATTAAATTATTAACAAATATACTATAATAAAAAAAAATAAAAGAAATTGAACGGACTTGAGCTTAATTCATTTAAATCTTACGATTCGATTCTAATATTTGAATAAAATGTAAATGTAAAAAGAAATGATTAAATCATATGACCTACGATTTAATGTCTGACGAGTTTTACAAATTAAACCAATTATTAAAAGACAAATCACATCACAATATTGTGATTATACTCGTCATACGTAGTTTTATTTTTAATATTAAAAAAATAATTAGAATGAGATATAATCTATTTTTGTTAAAATAAACATCGTCTATATTTTTAAATAATTATCTTATGATAAAATAATCAATAATTTTAATAAGTTATTTTCAACAATTGAGGTTAATCAATTTAAATTAATTGAAAAGAGTTATAATCTATTTTTTTAAATAAACATCTCATTTCATTTTTCATTCGAATTTTTCACACTATTGATTTTAATAACATAAGTGAGTTTGTATTAAGTCAACGCATTTGTTTATATATTGAGTTGATTCAATACTTTATATATTTTCAATAGTGGAGATTATATTGATATAGTAATTAATAATAGATGTTTTGAAGTATTGAACCGTGATTCTATATATTTTTTTAAAAGTTTCTTATTTTGCATTTGGTAATAATTTAATTAAAATTATTTAATAATAATTAATATAAAAATTAGTAATTTATTTAACATATTTATCTTTTTACACTAGCATTTTATATTATATATATTTATTGTCTACATTTAATCAAATACGTTGGTTGCTCCAGTGGTTAGAGTAACCCATGTTTTGGACAAAAAAACCCATAATCCGGGTTGACCCAACGGGCCCTCGGGTCTAGGGTCCAAAATATTTGGATCCGAAACCGACCCGGGTCTGGGTCCGTGGTCAACGGGCCGGGTCTGGGTCAAACCTGGCCCATGGCCGTGTCTATATTAAAGATCAATATGTGTGGGACACAACCACTCAAGCATTGGAATACTTTTGGCAAAATTCCACAACTAATGAATTAGTAGACTTGGTGTGGGACACAACCCCACTCAAGCATTGGAATACCTTTGGCAAAATTCCACAACTAATTAGTAGACTTGGTGTTAGACTTGGAAGCAAAATTCCACAACTAATTAATTAGTAGACTTGGAATGTTATTCATATATACATACACTGCACACGACAAAGATCACAAGTCTAAAAACAATGGCGAAATCCATCAATAGTATCTTTTCTTTCTTGATCATCTTCTCTTGTCTTGCCTTGCACACTCCATCAACATTCTCCAGCAATAACCAAACAGATTTGCTTTCATTGTTGGCCATGAGAAAAGCCATAGATGTCGATCCAAACGGAGCTCTAAACTCGTGGAATCAAACGACAAATTTCTGCAGATGGAATGGAATCACATGCGGCCGCAGGCACCCGGATAGAGTTGTTGCCATAAATTTGGGTTCTGAAGGCTTGATAGGATCACTTTCACCTCATATAGGTAATCTATCGTTCCTTCGAATCATCAGTCTTGGAAACAATAGCTTCAATGGCCGAATTCCCCAAGAAATCGGTCTTTTAAGACGACTTGAGTATATTGAGTTTTCGAACAATTCTTTCTTGGGATCAATACCCAAAAATATGTCCCAATGCAAAAGTCTAGTTTATCTCAACTTGATCAACAACAATCTGTCCGGAAACATACCACCAGAGATCGGCTTATTGTACAATCTCCAGTCTTTATACTTGGGGAAAAACACATTTTCAGGGCATATCCCTCAAACTATAGGAAACCTAACATCTCTCGGAGCAATTTCGTTAAGGTTGTGTGGCTTGATAGGAGAAATTCCCGAATCATTCTCTCGGTTTCGAAGACTAAGTTTTCTTCAATTAGCTCAAAACAACCTAATTGGCACAATTCCTCCAAGTCTATTCAATATATCCAGTATCGTCTTTTTTGGAGTCGACATCAATCGACTTCAAGGATCAATACCCTCCAATGTAGGCCTCACTCTACCTAATATGAGGGGTCTACACTTGGGTGAGAATCAATTTAGTGGCCATATCCCAATTTCACTCTCAAATGCTTCCTCACTTGTAGAGTTACTGCTAGCAGATAATCATTTTAGTGGGCCAATTCCAAGGTTCGGAGAGCTTTCAAATCTTCGTTACTTGTTCGTCGCCGGAAACATTATTGAAGACGATATTAGTTTTGTTTCGTCACTTACGAATTGCACGAATATACAAGGTATCGATGTAGGTGATAACCCATTCGTTATTGGTTCAATTACGAACACAATTGCCAATTTTTCCAGCCACCTTGAGAAACTAGGAATTTATTTTACTCAAATAGTCGGAAAGATTCCTTCGGAAATCGGGAGCCTTGTTGGTCTCAAGCACTTGAGACTTTCCAATAACAATCTTGAAGTTCCTATTCCTTTGAGCATTGGTAGACTTTTTAATTTGCATATTCTTGAATTGGGAGGCAACAGATTAACGAGTCATATACCGCCCGTATTTGGAAACTTAACTTTGTTGTACTCTCTATCCTTGGAAAGAAACAACTTCTCGGGAACTATTCCCAAGAGTCTTGCTAATTGCACAAACATGCAAATGTTAGATCTTTCCATAAACAACTTCGATGGCCCCATACCCCAAGAGATTCTTATTTCCACCGTTTGTATTTTATTGGATCTATCTCACAATGCATTAACAAACTCCATCCCACTTGAATTTGGATCCTTGAGAAATCTTGAAGTGTTAGATTTATCTAATAACAAATTGTCTGGACTTATTCCGCGCTCTTTAGGGACGTGCGTTAGCTTAGAAGGAGTTTACCTATATGATAATTTGTTTGAAGGGCAAATACCTAATGAACTAAGTTCTTTGATGGGCTTAACAGATTTGGATCTTTCGCGAAATAATTTGTCCGGAAGTATCCCAAGTTTCCTCGGTGACTTAGATCTCCAAAACTTGAATCTATCTTTTAATAGCTTTCAAGGACGAGTGCCGACTACTGGAGTGTTCAAAAATACGAGCACAATTTCTCTGGAAGGAAACAATGAATTGTGTGGAGGAATTCTTGAGTTAGACCTTCCTCCTTGCACTTCATCTTCAGTTTCATCAAAGAAGAAAAACTTATCAACTCCTCTCAAAATTGGGATCCCAGTAGCAGGAGTTGCAGCAATTCTATGCTTCGTCCTTTTTATTTACAAGAGGAGAACACCGGACAAAAATATGCCTTGTGTACCTTCATTCACCGGGATCCCTTTCTTGAGGCTTTCGTACGCGGATCTTCTAAAAGCAACGAGTGGGTTTGCCGAGAATAACTTAGTTGGTTTTGGAAGATTTGGATCTGTATATAGAGGCATTCTCGAAGACGGGCCGACAATTATAGCTGTGAAAGTGCTGAATCTTGTGGTGAAAGGGGCATCTAAGAGCTTCATGGCGGAATGCAATGCACTTAGAAACATTAGACACAGAAATCTCGTGAAAATACTAAGTGTTTGTGAAAGCATAGACTTTCAGGGAAACGATTTCAAAGCATTGGTCTATGAATTTAAGGCTAAAGGGAGTTTAGATAAATGGTTGTACTACATTAATAGTGAACAAGAAGAAGGAGAAGGTAGAAATCTTGATGTGATTGAGAGGCTCGGTATTGCCATTGACGTTGCTCATGCACTTGAATATCTTCATTGTGGGACCGATTCAATAATAATTCATGGTGATTTGAAGCCGAGTAACATTCTTTTGGATGAAGATATGACGGCTTGCGTTGGTGATTTTGGGTTATCGAAGATTACTTCAAGCATACCCGAAAGCAGCAGCACAATCGGAATCCGGGGTACATTTGGATATGTTCCACCAGGTATGATTTTATTAATTTATCTTTGTTCTTCAATAAACTCCGATCCATTTTTTTTTACTCTAATCAATAAATGCAGAATATGGCATGAGTAACTCGGTCTCAACAAAAGGGGATGTATACAGCTACGGTATTCTCGTCATGGAGATGTTCACGAATAGAAGACCAACCGATGATTCGCTTAGTGAAAATGGTAATCTTCACAATTTCGTTAACGCTGCTTTGCCTAATCGTGTAATGGAAATTGTGGATCCTTTCATTCGAATGGGGCCGCACATGATCGATAACAGTAATCTCGAAGATTGCATGTGTTCTATCATGAGAATCGGAGTGTCGTGCTCGAAGGAATTGCCGAGAGAAAGGATGTTGATGTCTGATGTTGTTAGGGAATTGCATAGGATTCAAAAAGAATTGTCTTAGCTGAAAACAGAGTTCGGGACCCCTGCTTTTCCTTGTGTTTTCGTATTTTATTAAAGGAGTAATTTGTATCTACCTCCCGAGTTATGACTATTTGGCAACAACACCACGTACTTTTTATATTTGTCATCCACATCCCCTAAACTATAATAATTTGACACCAACACTCCTTCCATCTATTTTTTCATTTATTTAGGTGAGAATTAAACTTTGAAGGGTCAAATAACATTTTTCATAAAAATTCCAACTCTTTTAAAGTGAAAATTTTATTCCACACAATTTTAGAAATTTATTTTAAATTTGATTATGATCAAACGTTAATTTCTTCTTTTTTCTTTCCAGTTTTTTGTGCACCTGATCAACCATCTTTATTATTTTAGGTTCAGGCGTTATATCTCTTTGGTCAATAAGCCCATCCGTTTAATATGTATTATAAATAAAGGAAAAATTAATGTGTATGAAAAAATTATGCCCAACCCTTTTAAACTCAATTCCTAATTTTAAACACAATTTAATTTCAAATTAATTAATTTTGATCACAAAAATCCAATTTTGACTTTTTTTTTTTAAACTTTTTTTTCCTGAAATATATTTTACCGCCGGTTTCCGGCATTGGTTTTTTTTAGTGTTTTTTTTATTTTTTTAATTTTTTTCCCCAAATTGTTTATCCATTTTATTACGACCGCTGCTGAACACTGACCGTAATTGTACTGTCATTCACGGTAATTATACTATCATTGACAGTACATTTACGTAATTTTACTGTCGTTGACAGTACATTTACGTAATTGTATTGTCAGCGACAGTAAAATTACTGTCAACCACAACAATATTATTATTTTTCGGTATTTTTTTTATTTTATTTGATTTTTTGATAAGTTAACGTAATTATATTACTGTCGTTGAGGGTAAAAAATACTATAAACACAATAATATTACTGTCAATCACATCATTTTTTTTTTTGCCTTTTTGTTATTAACGTAATAATATTACTGTCTACTATTGTAATATTACTGTAAACACAATAATATTACTGTGGTTGCGGTATTACTGTGGATGGCAGTAATATTACTGTCAACCACATTAATATTACTTCTTTTGGTTTTTTATTATATTTGCCTTTATTGAACGGTCAACATATTAATATTACTCTATTACACAATAATAGTGATTTTTGTTGTGTTAATATTATTGTGATAGAGAGTAATATAACAATATTACGGTGTTAAATTGTAGTATATATAGTTAATATTATTGTGTTAAACAATAATATACTTGACTGTCAACCAAAACATATATTGATGTTTAAAAGGTGCAAAAAGATGTTAAAGTAAAAAATAATTAAAAAAAAATCAACGCCGGAGATCGGCCGTCAACGGCGGCGACGGACGTAATTCTACTCAAAATTGAGTTTTGGCTCAAAATTGAATAATTTGTGAAATTTGGGGTAAAATTGAAGTTAAATTAAATTAAAGGATGAAATTGGAGCATATTAAAATGTGAGGGGGTATTTTAGTCATTTATACATCTCTGGACAATGTGTAGACTTTTTTGTAAAAAAAAAATTTTGTCTGGACCCTTTATGAATAAGTATAGGATGATGAGCTTAGTTCTAACGGACCATTTTCTTTCTTATTAAATTTTACTTTAACAAAATTGATTTTGTTCTCCCACAATACTAATTTTAATTGAGCCGTCTAATTTTCACACCTAGCCAAGAAAAACCGAATTTATTTTGTATGACACCCCTCTATTTCTGAAAATATATATGAGGAGGTCATATAGATTTTTCTGCCCTAGTCCAAAACCAAATTCTAGTTTTAGTTTAATTGATCCCTGGGCAACTTAAAGTACCAATTATACCCTGTCACTGTAATAATATTACTGTCTACTATTGTAATATTACTGTAAACACAATAATATTACTGTGGTTGCGGAATTAATTACTGTGGATGACAGTAATATTACTGTCAACCACATTAATATTACTTCTTTTGGTTTTTTATTATATTTGCCTTTATTGAACGGTCAACATATTAATATTGCTCTATTACACAATAATAGTGACTTTTGTTGTGTTAATATTATTGTGATAGAGAGTAATATAACAATATTACTGTGTTAAACTGTAGTATAGTTAATATTATTGTGTTAAACAATAGTATACTTAATATGACTGTCAACCAAAACAATATTGATGTTTAAAAGGTGCAAAAAGATGTTAAAGTAAAAAATAATTAAAAAAAAAATTCAACGCCGGAGATCTGCCGTCAACGGCGGCGACGGACGAAATTCCACTCAAAATTGAGTTTTGGCTCAAAATTGAATAATTTGTGAAATTCGTGGTAAAATTGAGGTTAAATTAAATTAAAGGATGAAATTGGAGCATATTAAAATGTGAGGGGTATTTTAGTCCTTTATACATCTCTGGACAATGTGTAGACTTTTTTGTAAAAAAAATTTTTTGTCTGGACCCCTTTATGAATAAGTATAGGATGATGAGCTTAGTTCTAACGGACCATTTTCTTTCTTATTAAATTTTACTTTAACAAAATTGATTTTGTTCTCCGACAATACTAATTTTAATTGAGCCGTCTAATTTTCACACCTAGCCAAGAAAAACCAAATCTATTTTGTATGACACCCCTCTATTTCTGAAAATATATATGAGAAGGTCATATAGATTTTTCTGCCCTAATCCAAAACCAAATTCTAGTTTTAGTTTAATTGATCCCCAGGGCAACTTAAAGTACCAATTATACTCTGTCATTGTAATAATATTACTGTCTACTATTGTAATATTACTGTAAACACAATAATATTATTGTTGTTGCGGTATTACTGTGGATGACAGTTATATTACTGTCAACCACATTAATATTACTTCTTTTGGTTTTTTATTATATTTGCCTTTATTGAACGGTCAACATATTAATATTACTCTATTACACAATAATAGTGACTTTTGTTGTGTTAATATTATTGTGATAGAGAGTAATATAACAATATTATTGTGTTAAACTGTAGTATAGTTAATATTATTGTGTTAAACAATAGTATACTTAATATGACTGTCAACCAAAACAATATTGATGTTTAAAAGGTGCAAAAAGATGTTAACGTAAAAAATAATTAAAAAAAAAATTCAACGCCGGAGATCGACCGTCAACGGCGGCGACGGACGAAATTCTACTCAAAATTGAGTTTTGGCTCAAAATTGAATAATTTGTGAAATTCGGGGTAAAATTGAGGTTAAATTAAATTAAAGGATGAAATTGGAGCATATTAAAATGTGAGGGGTATTTTAGTCCTTTATACATCTCTGGACAATGTGTAGACTTTTTTGTAAAAAAATTTTTTTGTCTGGACCCCTTTATGAATAAGTATAGGATGATGAGCTTAGTTCTAACGGACCATTTTCATTCTTATTAAATTTTACTTTAACAAAATTGATTTTGTTCTCCGACAATACTAATTTTAATTGAGCCGTCTAATTTTCACTCCTAGCCAAGAAAAACCGAATCTATTTTGTATGACACCCCTCTATTTCTGAAAATATGTATGAGGAGGTCATATAGATTTTTCTGCCCTAGTCCAAAACCAAATTCTAGTTTTAGTTTAATTGATCCCCTGGGCAACTTAAAGTACCAATTATACCCTGTCACTGTAATAATATTACTGTCTACTATTGTAATATTACTGTAAACACAATAATATTACTGTGGTTGCGGTATTACTGTGGATGACAGTAATATTACCGTCAACCACATTAATATTACTTCTTTTGGTTTTTATTATATTTGCCTTTATTGAACGGTCAACATATTAATATTACTCTATCACACA